CCCATGAGAGGCAAAAAAAAAAAAAACGAAAAAGAAAATTTTAGAGAAAGGAACACTACAGCTCTCATTTCTCATAGCATCTCATCAATAACCCACAATGAGCCAGACGCTGGTGATTCATACCTGTAATCCTAGCTACTCTGGAGGCTGAGATCTGAGGATTGTGGTTCAAAGCCAGATTGGGCAGAGAAGCCCAATTAATTAGCAAAAGGCCAGAAGTGGAAGTGTGGCTCCAGTGGTAAAGCATGAGCCTTGAAAGACAAAGCTAAGGCACAACACCCATCCTGAGTTTAAGCCCCAAATAATGGCATGTACACACATGCACACTAAAAGCACAATGAGATTAACATACTGTTTTTTGTTAATATCTCCAGTCACATAGCACATGCTTTCTCGTTTGCAGAATGAATGGAGTCACATCCAATCAGGCCACACTAGTAATGAGCCAGGTGTGGGCAGCTAGCTGTAATCCTAGCTAGTCAGGCGGCGGAGATCTGAGGATTGAAGTTGGAAGCCAGCCCTGGTAGGAAAGTCCAAGAGACTCTAATCTCCCATTAACCACCCCCAAACCAGAAGTGAACTGTGGCTCAAAATGGTAGAGTGCTATCCTTGAGCTGAAAAAGCGCAGGGACAGCACCCAGGAAAAAAAATTTACAATGTGCCAGGAATTATTACACACACACACACACTTTACACTTATTAGGTCCTTTGATTCTTAAGATCCCATGTGGTATATTGCAACCTCCATTTTACAGTGAGGCCTCATCATAGAGAAATAACCAATGCACATAGAACCCCAACCTCTCTCTGCCCAGGTCTTGTACTCACCTTGGAATTTCTGAGCCACGTCTTGGAAGTGGGGGTCCACAGAACCCCAATGTCTGTACAGTTGAGCCAAGCTGACATCCAGCTGGAAGTATTCTCGGATGGCCTTCAGCTCCTCCAATGTCGGCCTGCCACTCCAATCCTCGTTCTCTCGGTACACAGTGCAGAAAAGCCGCCCTTCCGTTTGAGTCAGTGTCCATACTCGGCTCTCCAGTACGCCACTCCAGTGTGCAGGGCTATGCTCCCTCCACCTAAGCACCCGGGTGCAGAGCGACAGGCTATATATGGGTTTCCTTTCCTTTGGGGTACACCTCCAGTCTTAGAGCTGCCCCATTCGCAAAAGAGGTTTACTAACTATAAAGTGAAAATGGTGAACTTTTCAGTGGTTTTATCGCATGGTCCTCGCAGCACTGCACTTGGTACCTCTACTTTATAGAGGGGTAGCAGGCCTGCCACCAGGGCTTCCCCTTCCATCCATCCTCCCCAACGTTCCTTTGCAGCCCTGATGGGGAAAGTCGAGCCAAAGTCCCGAGAAGGGGCCATCCTCCCCCCACACCCGACGCAGTCACCCACCGAAAGGACTGTCCAGAAGCTAAAACCAGGTCCAGGCGCAGCTCAGAGCGTGGACAGGGGATGGAGGCCCAGAGAGTCGGGCTGGAGGCCAGAGTCCGGTGCCTCATGAGCCACCAGGCAGAAGCCACCTTCAGGAGAGCAGCGCCCGCCCCGCGGCGGCCCGAACACCGCGCTGCAGGGCCACGCCCCCAGGCTCCGCCCACCCGGCCCAGCACGGAGCCTCATCTTAGGTCCCTCCTTCTCTCATTCGATTCCTCCTCTCCCGCCCGCCTGCTAGCCTTGCCCCTCCCTCGACCACTCCTTCCGACGTGAGCTTCCCGCCCCAGAACCTCGGCGCGCGCTCCGCGACTCCACAGGGACAGAAGCTTTTAGAAGGAAGCGCGAGCCTGTTTCACCGCTTTCTCGGGGGGCGGAAGTAAGGCTCAGAGGTAGCCAATCCGAGGAGGAAGTGAGAGTACGCCACCAATGAGAGCCCGGGCGCGACGTTGGTGGGCGGACCCTCGGAGAGCGGCTTTCCCGAGGACCGGAAGTAAAGCTCAGAGGTAGCCAATCCGAGGAGGAAGTGAGAGTACGCCACCAATGAGAGCCCGGGCGCGACGTTGGTTGGCGAACCCTCGGAGAGCGGCTTTCCCGAGGACCGGAAGTAAACCTCAGAGGTAGCCAATCCGAGGAGGAAGGGAGAGTGCGGCACCAATGAGAGCTCGGGCGCGACGCGGAGGCCGGCCCTCGGTGCGCTGACGAGGTTGGCGCGCGTCGGACCCGCCGTGCGTTCTCTCCTCGGCGGCCTGACCTCATTTGGGCTCGGGTTCCCAGGCCTTCGTGTCTCGGAAGCTTCCAGCCCGCCCCCCGCCCCTTCCCCCGCGTGGGAGCGTCTCCGGAGCCGGGCCCAGGGGCCTCGGGGGCGGCGGCTCAGCCGGGCACACCTGCCGTTGCACAGAGGAAGGATGGTTTCTGCTGGTTTTTTGGAGAGGCGTCTCACAGACTTTCCTGCCTAGGCTGGCTTTGAATCGCGATTCTCAGGTCTCGGCCTCCTGCGCAGATAGTACAGGCGTGAGCCACTGGCGCCCGGCCAAATCGTTCCTAACTAGAGGAAGACAAGGCAACTAGGAGAGATCAGAATCCGGGGCCGGGGACAGTTCTAGCCCGTAGCAGTGATGGGGGTATCCAGTTTAGGCCGAGGCTCCCCGAGGGCCTCCTCTGCAGCTGTTGAAAGCATTGTCGTGCCGCACGGTGTCTTGCTTCTCCGCTGGCTGCAAGGCTTGGGCAGTCTTGTCATTCTGTGACTGTCATCTGTGGAACGCCACCCACAGGTGCTCAGTGTGTGGAAGGCACCCCTTAAAGTATTGTTGGAATTGGAAAAGGTGTCCAGGTTGGGGAAGGAAAGCCACCCTTTACACCTCTATATTGCTCCCCGGTGCTTTAAGAAGGAGGAAGGTACCAGCCTCATAACTGAAGCACTTGGGCCTTGCTTCTGGCAAAGGACAAAGCTGAGCAGGCCGAAAAGGAAACAGCAGTGGACTCTGCTTGGTGGTTCGGCACACTACAGAGCCACTGGCAGCTTTCCAGACCTAGATCTGAGCTTAATCTTATCCTAGTTGTGGTAACACAGGCAAGTCCACTTTTTTTTTGTCGGTCACTTCTGGCTTTTTCTGCTTATGTGGTGCAGAGAATTGAACCCAGGGCCTCATGCATGCAAGGCAAGCACTCTACCACTGAGCCACCTTCCCAACCTCACTTTTCTTTTCTTTTTTTGGGGTCCTGTCATGGGGCCTGGGCACTGTCCCTCAGCTCTTCAGGTGAAGGTTAGCGCTCTACCACTTGAGCCATAGCACCACTTCTGGCTTTTTTTTCTTTTTGCTTATGTGGTGCTGAGGAATTGAACCCAGGGCCTCAGGCATGCAAGGCAAGCACTCTACCACTGAGCCACCTTCCCAGCCCAGTTCTAAACCAATGTCTAGAACTGTAAAGGGTCTGAAATTATACTCTACTTAAAAGCTAACAACTTGTCTTTACGTCTTTAATGAGTGCTCATAATGTCATACATTTTTTTATTTATTTAGGGTCCGGTTGTGGGGCCTGAACTCTGGGCCTGGGCACTGTCCCTCAGCTCTCCAGCTCAAGGCTAGCGCTCTACCACTTGAGCCATGGCGCTGGCCGCTTCCGGCTTTTTTCTTTTTCCTTATGTGGTGCTGAGGAATGGAACCCAGGGCCTCAGGCATGCAAGGCAAGCGCTCTACCATTGAGCCACCTTCCCAGCCCTCACTTAACTTTTCTAAGCCTCCAAATCTGGAAACCAGCTTATTATTAACCTACCCATTGATACTGTAACAGATTAAACAAAACTGTATCTAAAGGTGCTTCCAGTTTAGGACATGCTGCTCTCCATGTACCATGGAAATGGGAATGCTCCTTTTATCTGCCTGCTGTGTTGTGTAACTAGCAGGCACAGAGGCCAACAACCACTTGGGCCCTATTATAACCAGTCTTGGTATATAGCACACCTCCCCTTCCCTTTGAATCCCTTTGCCCTGGTATAAGAACAAAGAATTCTAAATAGACTTTATTTACTAAGAATCAATATATTTTCCTTTGAAATAAATACAAACCAGTTTGAAAGGTAGGGGAATCTATGGGAAAGAGAAGGGAAATAGGGACAAGGCCCTGTCTTTTTAGTACCAAATGACTCTGGCGCGACCCGGAAACGCAGTTACAAATGAGAATAATTTAAATTCTCCAATAATTACAGTATATACAACAGCTTGGGAGGGGTCACCTAGTGTCCCTCTTCTGGGCTCGACAGACATCCGTCCCACTGCTAGGCTGGGAAGATGCCCGCTCACCTCACCACCTTCAGGGGCCTTAGGCCTCTAGGCAGTTATAGATTCTCCTAGCATGAGCAGGCAGAGGTGCTGGCAGGTCTGTTTTATGCAGTGTCCTAACCTTGGCCCACCACCCTGCTTTGCAATGCCATAGTCTCTGGAGCTCTTTTTGACCTGTGGGACCTCCCCTCTCCTTGCACTAAGTCACCACAGGCCCTTGGAGTGTTCTGTACAGTCCAGCTGCACTCAGGGCAGGAGGGACCTCCCCCAGCCCAGCTTCCCCTGAGACTGGCCCCAAGACCAGGAATGAGTCAGTGCAGAGGCTGGAGCCACTCCAGGGCAATGAGCAAGGGAAAGAGAGAGGTCCTAGGGCACTGTTGGTTGTGTTCTGCTGGGCAAGGTCAGTCGCTATCGCTGGTCTCACTGCTCTGCTCACCCTGCACCTTGCTGCGGTGCTGCAGGGCCCTGTGGTAGGCGATCTGTACTGACTTGCGGATGTTGGACTTGCGGCCCTCCAGCATCTTCTCTTTGTCTAGGTCCTGGTTCACACCAAGAGGAACCAGCTTTGTCCTGGGCAACCACTGCCTATAGGACAAGGTGAAGATCAAATAAATTATCTCAGAGACAACAAGCAGTCATTCAGCAATACCTCCTGGGTCCCATAACTGGTCACGATCTCTAGGAGATTAAGAAACAGTCCTAGCTGGAAATAATGCACACCACTAATTTCAACTACTTGGGAGGCAGAGATCAGGAGAACTATGGTACAAAGTCCTAGGCAAAGTTAGCAGACCCCCCCTTTCAACACATTAAGTGAGCAATGATGGTAAATACCTGTAATCCCAGTTACTTGCGCCAGAAACCAGCCCTGGGCAACAAGTGCAAGCAAGATACTATCTAAAAAAAGAAAGAGCTGGGCAAGGGTGGCTCATATCTATTGTTCTAGCTACTTGTGAGGCTGCAATCTGAGAATTATGGTTCAGCACCAGCCTGGGCAGCCAAATCGGAGACTAATCTCCAAATAACCAGCAAATAGCTGGAAGAAGTGGAAGGGTGGCTCAAATGGCACAGCACCAGCCACTAGTGGAAAAGCTAAGCAAGAGTGTAAAGCCTTGAGTTCAAGCCCCAGTACTGGCACACACAAGAAAACGGGAAGGGGCTGAAGTGGGACTCAAGTGGGCAAACTTAAGACCCTGAATTCTACAATAAAAAGACCCACATCCCTTTCCTCAAGAGACTGCTGACAACTGGGAGGGGGCTAGGTGAGCCTAATCAACAGTTGAACTAGGATCACCATAGGCTATTTGTGTAAAAATATGGAGCTCTGACTTAAGCAGAAATAGGTGTCCTGTCCCATAGGCTACAGACAGACTTCACTATCATCTGTGGGCTATTAACAGACTACACATGCAAGTTCGACAGAGCAAGGATTTATAGCTTAATGTTTATACCTACTTTATCATTATCTTGTCACCATGGAAGAAGGGGCTAGAGCTTCCATGTGGGTTTGTCATTGTCACTGGTCCTTTGGTTTCTAACAATAACTTGTGCGTTAGTGCCCACTCAGCCTATTAAGACTCGTGGCTAACACAACCCCTTTGCTCAAGATCTGTTCCACCTCCCTCCCCCACTGCTCTGTCACAGACTCGGTCGTCTGTCTGTTGCTAGAGTTTCTTTAGTCCGCCCCCATACCACTCAGGATTGCCTCTGTGGCTGTGAGTCATACCAGATGGCCCCCCTTCCTTACCAGGTTCGCTTGTTATCGAAGAAGAGAACGAGGTAGAGATGCTCTCGGGCTTCCTGGGTCATCTGCTCTCCAAGTTTCAACACCTCCAATGGGGGCACAGGGATGGGAACCCCATGGTGGAACATACCTTCTCGGGGCATCTTTGGATCAATGATCTGAGGGTATAACACAAGCCCAGGTTGGGTCAGCTCATTTGCTCCACGAAGCATACCCTAGCCAGGAATTTGGAGACTGTGTAGTGGTCAGAAAACAGTCATCATACAACTAGGACTGTAATGCTGACCCATGGCTGCTTCCTGGGCTGAATGACTTCAGGGCCTACGGAGCCAAGAGGAAGTAAAGGAAGAGATGCAGAAACCGGGGAGCTCTCTGGGACACTCAAGCTGCATCTGTCTAGCATGCCTCTGCTGAGGAACCCCATGTTCCACAGCTAAGCAGAGATAAGCTGGGGTTGGGGAGCAAGGGGCAGGACAAGGGAAGCGGAAGCTTACCAGTGCCGGGTATGATGGATACCCCCGGCATTTGGCCCACACGAGGTCCAGAGCGTCCAGTGGAGCATCGTCATCCTCTGACAGCCAGCCGGCTCCCCGGCTCAGACTCTTCCTCACCACTTCACAGGAACGGGAGAGAGGGGGCGGGTCAGCTGCTAGAGGGCTGGCAAGGCCCTGACACTGGGTGCCCAGCATCCCTGGCTTTGAGTGAGA